CGGTGGCTTTATTGCTTCCCAATTTCCAGCTGGAAGTGGGGAGACCAGGAGGATGAAGGCCAGTGCTCCTGGGGGGATGTGGTCACTCTGGGACCATCAAGGTGGAATGGGCTCCCCTCCCATGTTCCTGAGGGAGCTGGGCGGGGACAGCAAGGTCAGGTCCCCCCTGACTTTTGGAATCCCTGGAGGTCGGGCTTCCTGGGCCGCCCTCCCTCAGCCTCTCGCCCCAATTCGAGGCTCGCCCTTCCCAGGAATAGGCGGAGGGGCGGCCGCCAAAGCTCATCTTTTTGGCAGCAGCCTGGTTGCCAAGGGTTACCAGAGCTGGCTCTGGCTGTCTCTATGACAACTGGAGTTGCTCCAGCCCCCTCAGCCTCTGGGAGGGGGCGGGACTTGGCCCGACAGCTCTAGAGCTCCGCCCCTGGGGAGCTTGAGGCCCCGCCCCACCCTGGACCCCAGAGTAAAATTCCTCAGGACCTCATCATGGCACGCCCCCACCTTCCTCATGTCTTCCCTGATGTCCTCTCAGGTCACCCCGCCTCACTGTGCTGCCCTTTCCTTGCCTCATTATCTCTTGGACAAAAGAGAATTTCCTCATGTCCTCCCCCAAATACCCACTCCATCTTCCCCAGGCCCTGGTTCCTCTCTGGTCTCCCCAAATTCCTCCTCTGAGGCACCCTTTCCCTCACATTTCTGCCCCATGAGGATCTCCTGCGGTTCAGCCCTCCACGTCCCCCCGGGTGTTCCCATATCCCCCTCCATGTTCTCTCCACAGGCTCACAGCTACAGCCCTCCCCCCCATCTCTTTTCCTTAATCCCCTGCTGTGTGTCACACCCCAGCTCCCATTACCCCCAAGCCGCTTGACTCCCCCGTGCAGACCCGCTGACCTCCCTTGCTTTATGCTCACGTGCCCGCCTCCGGGCCCTCATAGCCTACCCTCACATTTCCCATCACTCCCCTCTCACACCTCAGCCAGACAGCTGGGCACTAAGTTTAGTCCTTGGCAGGCACACGTGGGCTCTGGTTACTCCAGGCGGCTGTGGGTATCAAAGGGCCCCTCCCCAACACTGCCCAGCTCGGGGAATCCCTGGGCCTTGGTCTCCCCACCCTGAAGGAATGGCTCCTAGCTCTGATGGCCACCCTTCTTCTCACCCACAGCCCCTGGCCAAGCGGTGCCGCCTCCAGCCTAGAGATGCCGCCAAGATGCCTGAGAGCGCCTGGAAGTTCCTCTTCTACCTGGGCACCTGGAGCTACAGTGCCTACCTGCTCTTCGGCACTGACTACCCCTTCTTCCACGACCCGCCCTCTGTCTTCTATGGTGGGTCCCTAGTGGGGAGAGGGATAGTTCTGCTCTAAACACTGAGGAGAAGGGCCATGGGGGAGCTGGCACTCATCAGCCACCCCCTTCTGATGTCTGCTCCAGACAAGGGTGATCAAGGGGCCCTGGGGACGTATTACAGCTCAGGGGGGCATCCTAGAGGAGGTGACGGCTTTCGTGGGTCCAGGGGGGCACTCCAGGTGTCAGGAGCAGCACAGGCAAAGGCCCTGGGGCATGCACAGGCTTGGTGCGTGAGCAGGAGAGCAGGGCAGCAAGAGTTGGAGTGTTTTCTAAATGGGATAGTCTATGGATTATAAAACGCTTCCTCTGGCTGCCATGTGCAGACAGCAATCTTTTATTTTTTTTCTTTAGTGAGAGAGAGGGAGGGAGGAAGGGAAAGAGAGAGACATCGATTCGTTGTTCCACTTATTTATGCATTCATTGGTTGATTCTTGTATGTGCCCTGACTAGGGGTCAAACCTGCAACCTTGGCATATCAGGGTGATGCTCTAATCAACTGGCCAGGGCTGAAATAGCAAAGTCTTGGGTGAGGATGGTAGCAAGGCCCAGGGGGGAAGGGAGGGACCAGTGTGGTTCAGACCAGCTTGGCAAAGAGATACAGATGGTGAGAAGTGGCTGCACCCATGGATTGGGTTAGGTGTGGGGGTAGTCAAGGCCTGGCTCTGGGTGGGATGGACAGGAGGGTGACCGCAGTGTCCTCTATCACCAACAAGCAGGTCAGTATAGAAAATATGGCCTGTGATGGGGGGAGGGGGCCCTCTGTTCCTATGCTGACCACCCGGCCGTGTATCATGGACGTGCTTCCTGCCATGTGACATAAACAGCCTGAGAGGGCTCCTGGCACCGTAGGAGGGCCTGGCACGGGGCCCCTGCATTGCAGGGTCCTGGTAACAAGCACTTGGTTTACTGGGCACCCAGCTCTCCTCGTGGGATTGTGCTGCCCACATGGCCATTTTCCTATGTGCAGTTCCCATGTGGTAAATTTCTAGAGGAGAAGTTTTAGCTGTCATTCAATTTTCCTTTATGCAAATGAACCATAAATTGAACTCTCTTAAAATTTCAGGCATGGAGTTGCCTCTGGCTTCTTATAAATGACGCTACGATACCATGCTTGCAAGTTACCTGCTTCTTTGAAGGCTCATTTTTTCAGTACCAACTGTGTGCCAGGTTGTGAGCAGGTCAGAGAAAGCCCCCCAACAGACGGTGAAATATAAAATCTGTTACCAGCGATAGGTGCTGATGAGAACACTTTGGGGAGTGGGGTGCCTGTGAGGGGAGGGCATGTTCTACAGCAATGGGGGTAGCCCCACCAAAGGTGGCTTTTGAGTGAAGACCTGGAAGAAACACATTCCTGGTGCATCAGGAGCAGAGAGAAGCTCACCGGCCAGGGCAGGGCGTGAGGAGGGCAGGTGGGCAGAAAGGGTACTTACCAGGGGGCTGTGAGCAGAGGTGGGGGCTCCAGCCAGGACAGGACTGAGCAGAGGAGGGAAGTTGTTGATTTGAGAAATGTTTTAGCCTGGCCAGTGTGGCTCAGTGGTTGAGTGTTGGCCTATTGAACCATAGTTCAATTCCTGGTCAGGGCAAATGCCCAGATGGTGGGCTCGATCCCCAGTACGGGGCGTGCAGGAGGCAGCCTATTGAAGATTCTCTGTCATCATTGATGTTTCTGTCTCTCTCCTTTCCTCTCTCTGGGAAATCAGTAAAAACATACGTTTTTAAAAGAAAAATGTTTTGAAGGCAGAGCGGGTAGGATTTGCTGCCAAACCAGAGATGGGTGTAAAAGAGGAGGGTCTGGGCTCCTCAGTGAAGTGGGGGGTCAGTAGGGTTGGGTCTAGGGGCGACCAGGAACTGGGTTTGGGGAGCCCAAGGCCCTGATATTGGAGGTGGGAGAGGGGGTGATATCCTGTCCCCAGAGCAGCAGGTGGGATGTATGGAGAGGAGGCTGGAGGTTGTGAGCAGGTCAGAGCCCGGCCCTCCAACAGGTGACGTCTGGACGGTGAATTAAATGCCCCCCCTCCCCGCCTCAGATCTGGGGCCCGAGGCTGGAGGGGGCAGGCTCACCCACGGTGAGTCTTACCGGTGTCATAGGTGGAAGATCTGGTGTCCTCTTTCCACAGTGGACTCTGCATCGAGGCTCTGCATGCTTTCCTTGTAAAGAGGGACAGAGACACCTGGGAGTTGTGTGTGTGTTGGGGGGGTGGGGGGCCTCCAGCTGCCGCATTCTCGATTTGCTGTCAAACTTCGAGAAGCCCCTGGACATGTTAAAGTGGGGGGAGATTGGATCTGACTCATGGAGAGTTTTGCTTTCTTTTATTAGGTAAAATGCTTGAAACATAAAGGTAACCATTTGGCTAGACACAAAAAGACAAGTACTGTGTCCACTTATAGGAGGTCCCAGAGGAGTCAGATTCATAGAGACAGGGCCTGGGGGAGGGGAGGGGGGAGTGGGTGTTCAACACGGACAGTTTCAGTTTTATAACAGGAAAGGGTTCTAGGAGGGATGGTGGGGATGGCTGGTCAACAATGTGAATGTGCCTTATGCAGAACCTAAAGATGGTTACGGAGGTTAAAGTTTACGTGGACCGTTTGTTTCTGGCTCCTTTCACTCAGCATCGTGTTGTTGTGTGTGTGTGTGTGTGTGTGTGTGTGCATTTTATTGATTTCAGAGAGAAAGGGAGAGGGAGAGAGAGATAGAAACATCAGCAATGAGAGAGAATCATTGATCAGCTGCCTCCTGCACGTCCCCCACCAGGGATCGAGCCCACAACCTGGGCATGTGCCCCCGACTGGAATCGAACCCGGCACCCCTCAGTCCGCAGGCTGACGCTCTATCCACTGAGCCAAACCAGCTAGGGCTCGGCATCATGTTTTCTGGGTTCATCCACACAGTGTGTCAGTGTGTCTGTCTTTTTAGTGGCTGAGTAATATTCCATGTGTGGAAGGACCACATTTTGCCTGTCCTTTATCTATTGATGGGTTGTTTCCATGTTTTTGGCATCTGTGACTAGTGCTGCTGTGGACATGCGTGTACCAGTGCCTGTCTAGTCCGTTTTCAGGTCCCTTGAGCACTCACCTAGGAGTGGAATTGCTGGGTAGCAGGGTCTGTGTGATCACAGCCTTTGAGCCCCGTGGGGAGAGAGGACAGTTGGGAACACACTCGGAGGCCAGGAGGAGCTGGGGCAGTGCTGGGTAGGGGCAGTGGGGGGCCGGGGAAGTGAGCTAAGACATGGGCCGGAGGGGCCCCGGATGGGGATCTGCGTGAATCTCCTTTGCAGGAGTGGCCAGAGCACAGATGAAGGGTCATCGTGAGGCAGGGGCATGGGCGGAGTCTAGGAAACTTAGGGCTCCAGGGGCTCCCTGAGTTAGGGGTGGGGCAGAGGAGGAGTGCCCAGTGGGCAGAGCCCTTGGCCCTGGTAATGGGCGGAGAAGAAGGGGGGTGTCAGCGTTGCCGAGAAGGGGTGAGACCCGAGTGAAGGTGGGGGCAGCACCGTGAGGTGGGCAGCAGCCTCCATCCGGTTGGGAAATTGCTGGGGGCCCGGGGCGGCTGGAATAGGAACGTGCCCTCTGGCTGGAGCGTGCCTGGTGATTAAGAGAAGACGGGAGGGCACCCAGGGCAGAGTGGGAAATCCTGCAAGGGACTGATTTCAGGGGTAGGAGCACCTTTTTCCATAAAACTGCAACTGCTCTAGAAAATAATGCTCATTAAATAAAAGAGAACAGGTGGAGAGTTGGGGATGGGAAACCAGTGGCCGGTACATCTGCAGACACACGTGGCTTGCCCCGGCACGTCGGGGGGGGGGGGGGGGGAGAACCACCGCCCCGCCTGGCTCCCAGAGCGTGTGAGGGTCACTCGGGTCCCTCGTGTGGAGGCCCTGCAGGGCCCCTGATGACCCGGTCCCGGCTCTCCCCAGACTGGACACCAGGCATGGCAGTGCCTCGGGACATCGCGGCCGCCTATCTGCTGCAGGGAAGCTTCTACGGCCATTCCATCTACGCCACGCTGTACATGGACGCCTGGCGCAAGGACTCAGTGGTCATGCTCGTCCACCACGTGGTCACCCTGGTCCTCATTGTCTCCTCCTATGCCTTCCGGTGAGTCGAGGAGGGCGGAGGGCACTGCATGAGCAAGGGCGGGAGGAGGCATCGGGGTGTTCCTGGGGGAGGGTCCCAGAGAGATTCAGAGGGACGGGGTGAACAAGGTGCAGGGAGCCCCGTCCCACCCATCCCCCTCCACCCCCTCCAGCCCCACCCGGATGGCACCTTGACCAGGTCACATGGCAGGTGTTTCCTGAACGCCCGCCATGTGGCAGGTGCTGCTGGGAGCACAGCCATGAACAGATAACCCTGCAGCCTGAGAGCCCACACGTGGCCACCGATCCTCTCCGAACTACGGCCTGCTGATTGTTCTCAAATCCACCCCAATTTCACAGGCAAAGGAATGAAAATACCTCGCCAAGGCCTGTGTTACATCCATCACATGTTGAAATAACAATATTTGGGGTATACGGAGTTAATTAGAATATATTATTTTAATTTCTCTCTCTTTTTTTTTAACATGGGTGATAGGAAATCTAAATGAGGTCTACACTCTTGTTCAGTTCCTATTAGCCTCACTGCTCTAGCTGCACCCTCCAATGTAGTAGCCGCTGGTTACAAGGGCTATTTCAACTTTAATTAAGCTTAAATAAAATCACACATTCTGCCCTAGCCGTTTTGGCTCAGTGGATAGAGCACTGGCCTGTGGCCTAAAGAGTCCCGGGTTCAATTCCGGTCAAGGGCATGTACCTTGGTTGCAGGCTCCTCCCTGGCCCGGGCCCTGGTCAGGGCACATGCAGGAGGCAACCAATTGATGTGTTTCTCTCTGTCTTGCCCTCTCTCTTCCACTCTCTCTAAAAAAAAAAAGATCAATGGAAAAATATCCTCGGGTGAGGATTAACAACAATAACAAAAAATCACACATCTGTCCCTCAGGCGCCCCACCCACATTTCAGCTGCTCAGTGGCCGCATCTGGCTGGTTGCTCCCATGTGGGGAATGCAGGTATAGAACATTCCTGTTGTTCTAGAAAACCCGTAGATAGCACTGCTCTGGAGGATAGAATCAGATAACAGCCCCACCTCCCAGAAAAGGAAAACGAAAGAAAGAAAAGAATAATTTGTTTGAAGGTATTAACTATGGAGAAAAGTCAAGTCAGAAGAGAAGGACTGCAGGATGGTGAGGTGTAGGTGGGCGGGTGGAAGGGGTGACAGGTGAGGAAGACCAGGAGGTGGAGGAAGGCTCTGCCAGCGCCGGGAGGTACATGTTAGGTGCTGGGAACAGCACGGGCAAAGGTCTCACAACAGGAAGGCCAAGTGGGGACAGAGACCTGGTGAGAGACCCATGGCCCCATCCAGGCTGAGTTCAGGACCT